TGTGTCCTCTGCATTTAGAAAGAGGAATTCATTTTTCTGATAAATCCCCTTGTGACCCCAAACAGAAAGTGGAATACAAGAGTATGGGATATTGGTGACTATAAGCAGAAATCCTTGTGATCTACCATATATGCTTAGCTTGACTTCATTAACTTTTTGAAAATGAACCTGCTGGGAAGACAAATCTAATGTCATCCATTAAACAAGAAAAATAAAAATTAGATCATAAAAGTGAACGTGGCTGGTGTGAAGGCAAACAAAATGAAAAATGTTTTATTGCACTTCCTTATTTCAAAGCAGCCTTTTAATTAAGATTTCCTCCAACAGCAATAAGTTTATACAGCCAGCACATTTCAATTTACACTTTCAGAAAGTGGCTCTTTTTCACTATAAGGAATTTATATACAATCTCCAGGAAGAAACTAAGGATAAAGGCAAAGGGGCACACCTCCAAGTGGGATGTGAAGATTCTTCCTGTCCAGGTGGAATAGAGTGAACAGTAACATTTTCCATTTCTTAGACTATATTTTATCCTGTCTGTTTTTCTCATTCCTAGCCATTAGGCTGGTGCAAATGTAATTGTGGTTTTTGCATTGTTGAAATCTGCCATTTGATATTGGAATACATTCTTAAATGTGGTTATGTTATACATCATTTTAATGCGCATTTCTTGCTTTATGTTTTTTTTTTTCCTAATGACTTATTACTTGCTGTTTATTTTATGTTTATTTCAGACTATGGAAATGATGTTAGACAAAAAGCGAATTTGAGCAATTTTCTTTTCCGAGTTCAAAATGGGTCATAAAGCAGCGGAGACAACTCGCAACATCAACAACACGCTTGGCCCAGGAACTGCTAATGAATGTACAGTGCAATGGTAGGTCAAGAAACTCTGCAAAGGAGAGGAGAGCCTTGAAGATGAGAAGTGTAGTGGCTGCCCACTGGGAGTTAACAATGACCAATTGAGAACAACCATCAAAGCCAATCCTCTTACAACTACATGAGAAGTTACGGAAGAACTCAATGCCAACCATTCTATGGTTGCTCGACATTTGAAGAAAATTAGAAAGGTGAAAAAGTTTGATAAGTGGGTGTCCCACGAGCTGAGCAAAAATTTTTTTAAAATCATCATTTTTTAGTGTCATCTTCTCTTAGTCTATGCAACAACAGTGAACCATCTGTCCATTGGATTTTGACATGCAGTGAAAAGTAGATTTTATTCAACAGCCAGCAACAAACCAGCTCCGTGGTTGGACTGAGAAGAGAAGCTCCAAAGCACTTCCCAAAGCCAAACTTGCATCAAAAAAATGTCGTGGTCACTGTTTTGTGGTCTGCTGCCAGTCTGATCCATTACAGCTTTCTGGAAGAAAGAAAAAAACACATAAATCAATGAGATGCACCAAAACCTGCCACACCTGCAGCCGGCATTGGTCAACAGAAAGGGCCCAATTCTTCTCCACAACAATGCTCGACTGCACTTCATACAACCAATGCTTCAAAAGTTGAATGAATTGGGCTGTGAAGTTTTGCCTCATGTGCCATATTCACCTGACCTCTCACCAACCAATCACCACTTCTTCAGGCATCTCGACAACGTTTTGCAGGGGAAAACACTTCCACAACCAGCAGGATTTCCCAGAGTTTGTCTAATCCCAAAGCACACATTTTTATGCTACAGACATAAACTTATTTCTCATTAGCAAAAAAGTGTTGATTGTAATGGTTTCTATTTTGATTAATAGAGATGTGTTTGAGCCTACTTGTAATGATTTAGATTTCACAGTCCAAAACCTCAATTACTTTTACACCAACCTAAGAGTTTGAGAAATGTTGTTGGAGGCATCAGGCTAGCTCTGGCTTTTATCCCTCCTTGGACTTGTTTATGGCAGTGGGGTTCTGAATACCAGTAGCATTTTCAGTTGCCAGTTTCCATGAAAATGAGGCAGCATGCATTTGATAACTGCTCGAAATATCAATTCAAGCTTTACCTTGATAGCCAGTGATCACTAGAACATATAGTACTGACCCAGCTTCTCGGCTCTCTTAGAAGGACTTAATTACACAGTTGAATAGCTGCTAGAGTCAGCCAAAGATACAGGGAAAACGACAGTTAGAGGAGAAACAAGGCAAGATTAATTTGTGATCTAACTCATTAAGACCTCCTGCTGCCATCTTTTGCCAAACCACTGAGCCTTCAACTTTTTAGAAAATGATCACATACCTCCAGCTACTCTTATTAGTTCTCTTGATTTTGCAGAAATCACAACAACCCCAGATGTCATTAAAAGCACCTGGAGCATGTAATTTGTTCAAAATGGGGAAAGCCTTCCCGGAGAGACAGGGACTGGTCCACAGGCCTTTTGCCCTTCTCTCTGATGGTGGTCCCAAGTAGCTCTTGCATTCTTTCCATTCTTCCTTCCTCCTTCTCCTACTTGCTCTTCTCTCCTCTTTCCATCTTTCTCCCTATCCTTGTCTCCCTCTGGCTGCCATGTTGAGGCTAAAGATGGGGTATCAAGGACATAGATCTGCAGCTACTTTCAATGTTCTTATTGAGCAATCTGTATCCATTATCTCACTTAATCCTTAAGATAACCTTGAAAGGAGGTATTTCCCCCCTTATACAGGTATGGGAATTGAAGCTTAGAGAGGCTATGTAATTTACCTAAGGTCATTAAGCCATTTTCTTTCTGTTGCAAACCCGCCCTTTTGTACTGTGCTTTGTGATGCCGAGGTGGGGATTCTGCAAACCACATTTCTGTATGGTCAGCTGGCTGGTGTTTTGTTGGCATGCCAGAAGGACATTGAGGCTGGATGAGGGAGAGGAGACTTGCTCCCCCCTGTTTGCCTCCTGTTTCTGTCTGCATCATCTCAATAATGGTTTTTCACTTCAGCAACAGCCGTTTTCTTTCTTGTTAAACTTTTATTTTACGTTTGAGGGTACATGTACAGGTTTGTGATATAGGTAAACTCATGTCAGAGGGCTTGTTGTACAGATTATTTCATTATCCAGGTACTAAACCTAGTACACAATAGTTCCTTATCTGCTCTTCTCCATCCTCCCACTTTCCACCCTCAAGGAAGCCCCAGTATCTGTTGTTCCCTTCTTTGTGTCCATGAGTACTCATCATTTAGCTCCCACTTATAAGGGAGAGCATGTGGTATTTGATTTTCTATTACTGCATTAGTTTCCTAAGAAAACTAATCCATCCATGTTCCTGCAAAAGACATGATCTCATTATTTTATAAGGCTGCATAGTATTCCATGTGTATATGTACTACATTTTCTTTATCCAATCAGCAGTCATTTTCTGCCCTCCCAGAATGAACTCCTCAGAAATACCAGCTCCAGTCCACTGGCACCTACTCCCCAGAAATCCAGGTCCCAATTACAAAGGGTTTCTACTCTAAGCCTCTAGGTTCTAATAACCTCATCCTCTTCTCTTCGTTCCCCTTGCCCTTTTTGGAAACAAGTGCTCAGTGCCAGAAAGAAGAACCAGCACTCAGACAGAGAGCTTCTCAGCAAGGCAACTTTACTTCTGCAGAAGGGTGCTGCTTGTGTCCATAACAATTGCAAGAGCACACTGAACAAAGGAGATAAGGGATTTTTATCCCTAAAGCAGTTCCTGTTTCTGTGTCCTTCCCCTATTGGCTGGGGTTGGACCACACAATCTAAGCTGATTGCGATTGACTAAGACTTAAACTTTTCCAAAAAGGGTAAATGCACAATTTTCAGGAAAAGGAGGGAAAAAAAGAGGGGGAGAGAAGAAGATGGTAGGGATTTATAATGTTGCAAATTATGACCAGGAAGTTGAGTCTTTGAAGAGGAACTTAGTTATTCCCAACATCCCAGGGGCAGTAGCTGCTTCCTGAAGTTATGATCTCTTTGGTGGCCCACTGTCCTCTTTTTGTCTTCAATACCAATTTAACCAATTCCCTCTATTAAGCTCTTTTCTGTGAAATTACTGGCTTGATCTCTGTTTTTCTGACTAATAACACACAGGAGCAGTAGGATTAAAAAATGAGTATGTCTGACTCCAAATCCAGGCCCTTAATTCCTACTCTTCACCCATTTGCAGCCTGGCACTCAAATAACACTTTAAATCAAGTATAATTAGGAACTCAAGTTATATTCTTTGCATGCATTCCTTGGGGAAAGCCCTAAGCATTGTCATATTGGTGACTGAACATACTATCCACTGTCAAATGGCTTGGAAAGACCTGACATGACATAAGTAAGTATAGTAGCATCAGCCAAGTAAGACGGAACTCTGATTAACATATTCCTAAAAAGACCACAGAGGCTGTGTGCAGGCCTGGAGTGGCGGGTGGGTGCAGGGCCAGCATGGCTACGGGCTGTGGGACAGCAGAAAAACAATCCTGTTCCCTGTGTGGAGAGTAGACTGGACAAGAGGAGGAAGTGGAAGCCTGCGTGGAAAACTGTTGCAGAATCCCAGGATGCTTCCAAACCAGTCCCTGGGGGCCAACCAGAGCACAGACTGACCAGGTACCTGGGTGGAGACCTTGGCTGGGAGAAGGTGCACCTGGAAGGAAATTACAGAGGAGGTCAACATGGAACAGAAGCCCCAGGACAGCAGGGAGGCTTCACCTGCCGAGAGGTGCTCTTGGTGGCTGGGCTGCTGCTGGCCATGGCCCTCATGGGTAAGCAGTCCTACCTCTGCCCCGACCACTTCTTCATTGCCCCTCAACGGTCCGTGGCAGATGCCAGGCACTGTCCCTGTGGCCACTTCAGGATAGGACAGAGTCAAAAACTGCTCACCTGGGCTGCCCTGTGAGGAGCTGAGAACAGAGGTGAGGCAGCTGAGGTGTGTCAGGAAAGGAGCCGGAAAGAGGATGAGACTGGTTTCACTTCCGGTCACCGTCGTGGTGTTATTCCAGTTAACACAGTGTCCTCCAGCTCCACCCCTGCTGCCACGAATAACAGAACTTCATTCCTTGTTATTGCTAAAAAGTACCCCATTGCGTCTGTGTACCACATTTTCTTTTTTTTTTTTTTCTAATATGCCACAATTTTTATTGCAACGTGGCCATGTTTGTAAGGGTGGGGAGTTTGATCTCAAAACAATGTTCCATTTAAGGCTCTTTTATACAGAAATTGCCATCATGACTGATATTCAAAATATCTTTAGTGTTGCAGGACTCACATGGTAAACATAAAAGTCCTACACTTATTCAGTAGTGTACACTCAATGGAAAACAAAAAGGCATTAATAACAGCTATTTCTTTTAAGAAGGTATGCAGGTAACAGGAATGAACACTGAGGTACTAGGATAAGTTGATGACACAGTTAACAAAACTTAATTGGCATTCCTTTTAGGATATTAAACTTGTTACAAAAAGTGCTTTTAATGCATAGTGTTATATCTGTGCTGCCATGTCACAAAAATAGGCTTACCAAGGCAGGTGAGGTGTATGAATGCTCAAGCCTCACAGAACTGCAATCAAGTGCAACTATAAATAATACTGAAAAAAGTTGACCATCTGACCAGTGGATAATACTTTCAAGGCATTCAATTAGCTTATCCTTTGCAGTATTCTAAGCTATTCACATTGACGATCACATACATTGTAGTGCTTGCTGCAAGGGAGGCATATAACCAGTTGTTTTTGGCTAAAATATGACAGGAAGGCATTCCTTGGGTTCTACATAAAAGTAACAGTATTAAACAGTCTAATGGCAATCACTGATAGGCTGCTTAAATAAATGATATTTCCTTCATTCATTGTGTTGGAAGGGCCCAGTGGAAAGGGGGAAAAAAAACAAAAAAACAAAATCTAATACTATTCCAATGGACTGAGCTGGAGAAATGCAAGCTCCTTAAGATCCAGATGGCACTTGACTGTCATTTTATAATGGTTTTCCTTCAAGTGAAACTACTACATTGCCTCCCAATTTCTCTCCAAGTGTCGAACGGTCCTTAATATCATCCAAGCCATTTACTTGCCACTCATGTTTAATACCTGTAAATTTCTTTTTAATGGCATCTTTAGAGCTAGCATAAATCATCTTGCTTTTTAAAGGTGCACTTTCAGGAGCCCAGAATATAAATACTAGGTCTTCTTTCTTAGACTCTTTTGTTTCGTATGTGGCATCGTACAAAGCATATCGGCAATCATTCAGAGGTAGCAACTTCACAAAAGATGTGTAGGGGTCCTCTACAGTATCACCAATGTCACCCACCAAGATCTGCTTTGCTTCCTCTACAATTATTTGTCTTTTGTCATCGCTTAAACAGAAGAGAACTGCTTTCTTTCTCTTTTTGATCTCCTCTTGTGTAGAAGATTTCCTTACTTTCATATCATTAAAAACTTTTATGACTTCATCATTCACTGTAACTCCAGAAGCCATAGTGCCCTCGGCTGTGGCTGCGGCGGCAGCTCGGGCTCCGGCTCTGTGGCACTGGGAGGAGAAGCCACATTTTCTTATCCATTCATCTGTTGATGGAGACTGTGGTTGATTGCATATCTTGGCTATTGTGAATAGTGCTGCAGTAGCCATAGGGTTCAGTCTGTGGGAAACCACCCAGTGTTAGGAGCCTTGTCTGCTCTGTTTCTGTCCTTGAGCTCAATAATCTCAGGTGTGGGACTTTATCCTAATAAAATAATCCAAAGGCAGGAAAAAAGCCAAATGCAAAAAGGAACACTATAGTGATGAAAAATGAGAAACAATAACTTTAGGTGACTAGTTTATCAAATTAGGTTTTAACCACTTGACAGAATATTCTGCAGCCATTGTGTAGTTAGGAACCCATGTGATAACATGAAGAAAACCTTATGATGGTAAGTGAATAAAATAAGATACAAAATTGTATACCATACTATTTTCAACTGCAAAATTATACATTTATGCAGAAAAATACAGAAATGTCAGAAATTGTGCTAGGGTGAAAGGGAAATTATGGACAATTTTTTTTCCTGTTTCTAAAACTCTCTGATGGTATTATACTGATTCTTTAAAAATTATTTTCAATTGACACATGATAATTATACATATTTAGGGAGTACATACTGATGTTTCGATACATACAATGTGTAATGATCAGATGAGGACATATCCATCATCTCAAACATTTATTGCTTCTTTCTCTTGGGAACATTCAGTACTCTCTCTACTAGCTATTTGAAAGTATATAGCTGGATGCGGTGGTTCACGCCTGTAATCCCAGCACTTTGGGAGGCCGAGGTGGGTGGATCACAAGGTCAGGAGTTCAAGACCAGCCTGGCCAAGATCCTGAAACCCCGTATCTACTAAAAATACAAAATTAGCCGGGTGTGGTGCTGCTCACCTGTAAGCCCAGCTACTCGGGAAGGTGAGGCAGGAGAATCGCTTGAACCCAGGTGGCAGAGGTTGCAGTGAGCTGAGAGCACACCACTGCACTCCAGCCTGGGCAACAGAGCAAGACTCTGTCTCAAAAATAAAAATAAAATAAAGTATATAATACATTGTTTAGTCATCCTATAGTGCTATAAAACACTAGAATTTGTTCCTCCTGTCTAGCTGTAGTTTTGTATTCTTTAACAAATGTCTCCCTGTCCTTGCCTTTCTGCTACCCCTCCCAGCCTCTAGTAACCTCTGTTCTGCTTTTTATATGTGAGTAAACTTTTTAAAATTTCTACATATGAGTAAGAACATGAGGTGTTGAACTTTCCGTGCCTGGCTTATTTCACTTAACATAGTGTCCTCCAGTTCCATCTGTCTTGCAGTGAATGACAGGATTTCATTCTTTTTAATGGCCGAATGGTATTCCGTTTTGTATATATATCATATTCTCTTTTATCCATTTGTCTGTTGATGAATACTTAGGTTGATTGCATGTCTTGGCTATTGTGAACAGCACTGCAATACACATGGGGTGCGCATTTTTAAAAATCACAAAATTGACATATTTGCAAGTCAAAGATGTAATGGGAACTTAGCTCTCTGCATTTCTGCTGGAAATCTAATTTCTCTAAAAGCAGAACATGCATTTTTGGCCTTGCCTTACTAATAATTTTATTTTGCAGGAGGAAGAGGAAGAAACAAAAGTAACTTCTCTCCTAGATTTAATTCTGACCTACCAGGAAGAACTGGTTGTTGAAGCCGAAGTACTGGAGTCTCTGGAGCCAGTGAGTCCGAGAATGTCTTTCACAGCGGGGATTAAAATGCCCAAGGAAAACCATTCTGGAAAGGCTCTGATTTGGGTTCTAAATGGGTACACAGTTCTCAGAAGGTCAAAGGAAATTGCAGTTTGATCCCATAATCAAACAATCTGAAAGAGAAGACAGAATAAGAGGGATGGGAGGATCTCCAAAATGAAATCCCTAGAGCAAAAGAGTGTGAATCTTGATAAGAAGTAAAAGAGTTTGGCTTCAAAAATACCGGTGTGACTAGCAGAAAGCAATTTAACGAGCTTAATTTGTCAAAAGGCTGGGTGGTAAATGGAAGTTTACAGCATATAATCTGTGAACGTCTCTTTGTTCCAGGAACTCTCTAGAAGTAAACAACCCAAGCTGCTTATACTGTAGTGGAGGAGACAGACAAAAAACCAATAAATAAGCAATGAACCAATACATATAGAAAGTATGACAGGCAGTGGTAAGCACAATAACATTATATGTGTGTGTTGAACCACTTGAAATTGACAATATTTACCATTTTTTTTACCTACAAAAATGGCTATTTCAGGTCAGGCGCCATAATTCACGCCTGTAATCTCAGCAGTTCAGGAGGCTGAGGTGGGAGGATTGCTTGAGCCCAGGAGTTCAAGATCAGCCTGGGCAACACAGGGAGACCTCATCTCTATTTTTGTTTTAATGGCAATTTCTTTCTTCTTTTTTCTTTTTTTTGAGATGGAGTTTCACTCTTGTTGCCCAGGCTGGAGGGCAATGGTGTAATCTCGGTTCACTGCAACCTCTGCCTGTTGGTTTCAAATGATTCTCCTGCCTCAGCCTCCCAAGTAGCTGGGATTACAGGCACCCACCACCACACCCAGCTAATTTTTGTATTCTTAGTAGAGACGGGGTTTTACCATATTGGTCAGGCTGGTCTCAAACTCTCGACCTTCTGATCCACCTGCCTCGGCCTCCCAAAGTTCTGGAATTACAGGCATGAGCCACCGTGCCTGGCCTTAAATGGCAGTTTCATTTGATACAACCTACTATATTGTCAGAAGGGTGAGATTTGACACAAGGAGTGAGAGACAACCTCTCAGAGAGAGTGGCATATGAGCGGAGACCCAAATAAAGCGAGGCAATGAGGCATGTGCAAACTGTGGGAAGTGTGATCCAGGATTAGGGGAAAGCAAGTTTCAGGAATGTGGGGTGGGAATGCTGGGTGTACGTGAGGAACATCCAGAGGTCCAGTGTGGATACAGTAGAGGGATGGGACAAAGAGCAGTAGGAGGTGAGACAGGAGTGGATGCCAGGAGCAGGTCCACAGGGCCTTACGTGACCTGCAGGTCATGACAAAGACTTCAGGATTTTTTTCTGGGAATAAAATGAGAAGCCCTTAGAGGGATGAGGATGGGGGTGATTTGACTGGATTAATATTCTCAAATCCTGGAAAGCCTGTGGAGATGAGACTACAAAGGGCCCAGTGAGGAAGCCCCGCAACCATTTGTGGGACCAGTGCAGGAATCCAGGAAGGATCTGATAGTGACACGGGAAGGTTGTTAACAGTGAAGGAGGTGAGAAATAGTAGAGTTTTCAGGGTGTATTTTGAAGGTAAAAGTGACAGGACTTGCAGATTGAATTAGGCATAACAGTGGAGAGAAAAGGAATCCAAGATGACAGTAAGAATTTTGGCCTAAGCTACTAGATAAATGATGGAACCATTTACTGAGCTGGAAAGGGAGGAAAAGGTGAACATTTACTTGGGTAGAAAAAAAATCAAAAGTTTGATTTTAGATATGTTGACTCTAACACTCTTCTCAGGCATCCGATTTGAGTCGTGTGTAGGCAGTTGGATCAACAAATTTAGAATCAGAAAAAAAAGACAGGAGACATACATTTGGGAGTTATTAGCATACAGGTTTATTTAATGCATGGGACTGGGAGAAATTACCTGGGAAATGAGGTCAGCTAGACCAGAGAAGAGGTCTTGGGACAGAGTTCCAGGGCCCTCCAACCTTGAGAAGCTGTGGGGAAGGTGATTCAGTGCAGGAGTCTCAGGAGGGGCTGGCAGTGAGGACAGAAGGAAATCGCAGCAGTTCTGACTCCAATTGCCAGTTCTTGCTGCAGCCTTCTTAGGAAGAGGAATCTGTCAGAAGGCATGGGGGAAGCTAGGGTAGGACTCGCTGGAGACTCGTCCTATAGCATCAGTTCAAATAAACATGAGGGCTCAATTCTAGAAAGCCACATCCTCCAATGAGAATGAACCCCTGCACTGTCCCTACCTCTTCCACCTCCTCTTCCTCACTCCAAGTGACGAAATGGTCAGTTCTCCAAAACAAACATGATCAAGTCTGTCGACCCAGATATTTGAGGTATTAAAAAACTTCTCGTCTTTCAACTGTCCACAACAATTATCACTAACAAATTCTAATCAAATGCTCATCACTTTCTGAAAGGTCCTTAGAAAGCAACTTACCTCCCATGGTGTGAAAAGATCTGAGTACAAGGAAAGCCAGAGGATAGATTCTTAGAGGGGGGTGTTGGTAAAAGTAGTAAAAGACTAAAGACAAAATTAATCAGGGGATAGGAGGAGGAAGAAAAACAGGAGAATCCAACTAGATTATAAAAAATAGGTAACTTACAAATAGAGGGCCATTCTGGGCAGTTCTGTTTGAGGACTTTCTCTAGAATACATGGCTGCTTAGAAGAATAAGAGACTCACAGCAAGAGAGGGGCCAATTAGGTACGTGCCAATCAAAACTGCCTCCTGATTCAGGGCATTTTCACCAATTGCAAATGATAGTTTTCATTCTAAGTATCTCTGGAAATGGATAGGTAGGTAGGTAGATAGATGACTGTTAGATAGATAGATGATAGACAGACATAGAAAAATAGATAAATGCGGGTCCTGAAGATTATACAATTTGTATAAAAGCTCTTCAGAGTTGTTGGGTTTAAAATTTAATGTTCGCCTTGTGCATTGCTGGTAGGAATGTAAAATAGTGCCATTGTTGAGAAAAATCGTATGGCAGTTCCTCAAAAAATTAGCCATGGTATTTCCACACAATCCAGCTATTCCATTTCTGGGTATGTAGCCAAAAGAAGTGAAAGCAGAGCCTTGAACAGATACTTGTATACCCATGTTCATAGCAGCATTATTCACAACAGCCAAAACATGGAAGCAACCCAAATGTCTAGTAACAGATGAACGGATAAACAAAACACGATATATTTATACAATGAAAAAGTATTCAGCCTTAAAAGGAAAGGAAATTCTGACACATACTGCAACGTAGAAGAACCTTGAAGACATTAT